TGGCCCGTTTCGGGCTGATGTCGCCGTCAACGGCTATGTCGGGAGAGGTGGCGCCGTCGACGGCGGAGGCGGCAGTTGCGGTGGCGGGCTCCGCCGCCAGTAGCTGCAACAGCTCCGCCTTGCCCTCCGGCGTCGCGGACATATTCGCTAGCGTGCCCAGCAGCAGCACCGCCAGCCGGAGCAGCAGCAAGAGCGGGGTGGCGCTGCCGCCGCTCTTGCCGCCGGCGCCGACCCCACGGCCGCCAGCGCCGTCGGCAGCATCGCCGCCGTCAGCCTCCGGAAGCGAGTCCGGAAGTTCCATACGGCTACGGCCGTCAAGTAACTGATAACATCGCCACAGCAGGTGCAGCGCAACGGGAAGGAAAGTGCGCTGGAGACTAGCTCTGCCGCCGGCGGCGGCGGCGGCGGCGGCGCCGCCGCCTGTCGGGGCCCCGTCGGGCCCCGTCGGTGCTGTCGACAGGTACACCGCCGACTCGTTCGGGTCGGCTGTGTTCATCCCTAGCCACTCGCCGAAGCTTTGGATGACAACACCCTCGGTGGCGTCGCGATTGCTCCGGCCGCCGCTGGCTACTGCCGCCGCTACGGATGGCGGCAGCGGTGCCGCCGCCTGCAGTAGCGCCGTACAAGCAGGGACGTGGCTGGCGCTGAGGTTCTGGATCGCGCCGGCGGCGGCAGCCGCCGCTGACAACGACGGCGCCAGAGCCGCCCAGCTGTCACGCCTAGCCGCCGCCAACGCCGCCGCCGCACCGCCACCGCTGCCGCGAGGTGCTCGGCTGACGTCGCTTGGCGCCGTCACGGCGGCAGCCTTGGCCGCAGCCTCAGCTGCAAAACGTGACGTCGCACGCCCCGGCGCCGCCGCAGCTGCCGTACTCGCTTCCGAAGCCACCCCGCCCTGCGGCGGCACCTGCTGCTGCTGTTGGTGTAGCAACTGATGCCTTGACCCACCGGGGCGCAGTACGGCAGGACTGGAGGGCGAAGAAAGACCCCCCAGCGGCGCCACCTGCGGCGTCGCCAGCGGCATTACCAGGCTACTAATCAGCGACGGCAGGGGTGGCGCGCCGCCGGCCGCCGCTGCCGCCGCCGCAGCGGCCGCCGCCGCCGCCGCCAGCGCCGGCGCTAGAGCGAGCGATGCTGAAGCCGAGGTCGGCAGCGATGCAGCTGGAGATATCAGATAACCCCCGCCGCCGCCGCTGCCGCCGCCGGCAAAGGACGTGCCGTACGGAGAGCTATCCTTCTGAGGTGCGTGGCCGGCGGCGGCGGCGGCGGCATGAGGCGGCGGCGGCGGTGATGGCGAAGCCACTGACGGCGGCGGCGGTGCTGTGGCCGTCAGTGGCTGCTGTTGTTCCTGCTCTTGCTGTTGCAGGCGACGCTGTTGAAGTGCAAGCAGGCGGCCGCACTCATCCAGCATTGCCGTCAGGCAGTCCAATACCCCGGACGACAGCATGCGGTCGACGGCGGCGGCAGCGGTGGCGGCGCCGGCGGTGTCGGGGGGCAGGTCGGTTGATGGCGGCGCCGGCGGCCCATTGGCAATATTGCCCAGGGCCACCGCACAGTAGGCGCGCACCTGCGAATCGGAC